TGCCCAGTTCCTGCAACCGTTCTTCATATGTTTGAGCCTCCAGTCCCCTAATCATCTTTTTTGCTCTTCTCTGCACTCTTTCTAGGGTCTCAGCATCTTTTTTATAGAGTGGTGACCAAAACTGGATGCAGTGTTCTAGGTGTGGTCTTACTAAGGCTTTATAGAGTAGTATTAGTACCTCACGTGATCTTGATTGAATACCTCTGTTAGTGCAATTTAGCATTGCATTGGCTTTTTTGCCTGCCGCCGCACACTGCTAACTCATATTTAATTGGCTGTCCACTAAGACTCCAAGATCCCTCTCGCTTGCTATTAAGTCTGGCTTCACCCAATCTTTATGTGTACTTTTGGTTTTTCTTGCCTAAGGGTAAGACTTTATCATTCTCTGCATTGAATTTCATTTTGTTATCTAACAACATCAGTTTGCTATATTTGGAAAGGGTTATTAATGGTTAAGAACATCTTTGGACAGCAATAGAGTAACAAATAAATAAGCTTCAAGATTTAAAGAAAACAATCTAATAAAACATGATTTTAAAAGACTCATAGCAGACGTTTATATTCATGAGTATTAGTGTAACATATAGAACCTCTTCATGTAGACACAGAAATTTGGTGTCGGGGAGGATAATATTTGATTTAATGAAGATCAAATAACAAATCTGAACTCAAAGAGAACAGGTTTGTGTTTGTGTTTGGACACATGTGTACATTTGCATGTAATCTTTTATCAGCACTGAAGTTGCTTTATAGGAAATATTCTAGAAAATGCTACCTAACTTTCCCCATCATCGATCAATTGAATTTCTGCATTTATTCTGAAGTAAGGTTTACTAGAACCTATTGTCAATTTAGAGATTTTGTACACCAGATTAGGATTATAGAGGTACACACACTAACTTTTTGGTGACAATCCCTCTAACGAATTCAGTAGCAGTTGTAGACTGGTACGAATTTTTGCCTCTGGGTCTTGAGGGAAGGCTTCCTATTGGCTTTTTTCTCCCCCCCCCAAATCAACTGAATGACAACAGGATATTTCTGCAAAGCAGCTATCATTTCATCATGTCCAAAAATGTTGTGGAGTTAGGTTATGATGGTGGAGTAAGATGGGAATGTAAAAAAAGTGGATGGGTAAGTAGCTGCTACTGACTGCAGAGCAAGACAGTTTTAATGCTGTCTTTGATTTTCTCCTGCCTTCATGTACACTGATATGGGAACAACATATCCTTTCCCATCCTTCAGCTTTCTCTATCCATCTGTCCATCAAATCTATTCTCATCACAGGTTTATCTATAGTAATAGCCATAAAAGATATTAAGTAGAGCTTATCTGAAGAGGAAGGAAAGATGGTCTGTGAGGTGTGAACTGGGCTGCCTTTCCAATACCTAGTTCCATAATTTTCACTTACACTGAAGTAAGTGTTAAGATATTCTCATTAAAAAGGAAGTCTTCGCATGGTCTGTTTTTTTTTTATAAAAGGCACACAATAAACCATGATTTCCAAAGATCACTCTATCTCTGATATTAAAAGGTGAAAGCTCCAAAATTTGGGGTGAACAGAGGAACAAAATGTTTAAACTTTTTTTTTAAAGCCCATTTGTCAACCCTGTTTTTGACTTTTAAAGCTTGCTTGCTGCCACAGTATCCTCTGGGAATGTGTAAAATTTGGGGAAAATTAGAGCAGCAGAGGGAATATGTTTCATCTGTACAACAAAACTAGCTAGGCATGAAGGAAATTTCATCTCTTTCTTAGAGAAAGAGAATTGGGTGATTAACTTCTGAGTTTTCATCTTCTCCTTACAGGTCTGAGGAAACAAGCTGCCTAGAAAATGGCCAGCACCTGTGTTGCTGTCCGCCTATCTCTTTAAGCCCTCTCCCCAGCCAGGCGGGCAACCTTGATTATAAAAGCTGTGCTGAGAGACAGCTCAGAGTGCAGTTTGTGGGGGAGAGAGAATAAGCTTCTGTCTGTGTGTGGGGAAGTAAAGCAGCCAGAGAGGTATATTTTTTTTAGCAATACTCAGAAGAAACAGGAGTAGTAGTTCTCAGAAGGAATAGTAGTTACTGTAGGAATAGAAGTGGGGAAGAGTGGAGTAGGGGTGAGTAGTAGTGCATAATAGTTTATGAATGCTTGTATGTGTTGGACCTATGTTGTTGTTGGCTTGTTTGGAGCCCACTGAAATGGGTATACTGAAAAGAACCCATGACAAAAGGGGGGAAAGCTGGGTAGGATATCTGTTAAAAAAAAGTGGGGATAGCTAATTTAGGGTGGCAACCACACAAATGGAGATGGCTTAAACACAAGGAGTTCATTAAACACTCCATGAAAGGAAAATGAACCCTAGATACAAAAGTTATCAAACAAAAGACCGAACAAAGTTTGGTCCTCACAGAAGTCAGACTTTGCAGGAAATGATCAGCAATCCTGGCTATAGAAACCAGAAGGGATAGATTCTCCCTTAGAAAAAACTACTACCTTAGGTATCCACCCTCTGCCTGTAGTTAAAACAAAGAAGATAGACCAGCCAGAAATGGAGCTGGACTCAGATACTTGGGCCAACGTCTCAGAAGTGTTAAAGCAACAGCAAAATGAAAGGCTTCAACTAAAGAGAAGAGAGGCTTCAACTAACTAAAGCTATCCCCACTTTTTCCCCCGGCTTTGGAGGGAGGCAGAAAGTAAAGATAAGCTAAGATGAGAAAACAGGCAAGAAGAGATGAAGGGGCTAATAGCGCTCAATAGTAAAAGGAAATGCTTTGACTAATTAAAGAGAAAGAATGCCTTTGGAGGAAGGCAAGGAGTAATTCTATACTTTAGAATAAGAAAAGAGTGAACAAGAGATAAGAGAGGAATTGAGGGGGGCTGATAGACTTAAAGGAATACATCAACTAATTTGTAAAAGCCAGCTGGATGATCTTGAGCCAGTCACTCTCAGCCCAACTCATCTCAAAGGGTGGTGATTGTGGGGAAAATAGGAGAAGAGGAGTGTTAGATATGTTCACTACCCTGAGTTGTTTGTGAAAATAGGGAGGATACAAATAAAAAAAAAATTCCAAGCTGATAAAGAAGACAGAGAAGCCTATTTTATCATGTTTGAAAGCCTTGCTACCTCTTGTAAATTCCCCGAGGGTGAATGGCTGACCAAAATACTCCATGTTTAACTGGAAAGATTTTGAGAGCTTGTAGTAGTCTTCCACCAAGAGAAATAATGGACTACTCCCATATTCAAAAGATATTCCTATATAGGCATGGTATCATTCCCTACACTTACAGACAAAAGTTTAGGAGCCACACATACGGTTAGGAGCTACACATATAACAAGGGATTCATGAATTGTGGGCAAGATTGGAAGACATAAGCAGGAAATGGTTGAGGCTAGATGAAAGGGAGCAAAGAAAAAGTGATAGAAGTGACAGTTTCTACTCTTACCAAAGTGAGGTTTTGAGTGCAAGAACACAGCCAGAAATGGATCAAAGGGCAGTAGACTTGGCACATTTTAAATAAAACATAGTACTTGATACTAATGCATGAAGATCGCAGAAATCAGTGGCAGCATAGCAAAATCAAGTGTGCAACACTCATCTCTATTATCTAAACCCAATTACTCTTATATTCAATTATTACTAGTTTTTAGTTATGGTTGTTACCATTGATGCAACCCTATTGATATAAAACCAATTTTCAGTTTCTTCAAAGTACGAAAGAAAAATCTCTCTTGCCAATTCTAATGCCGAGTTAAATGAAGCTTTGCATGGAGTTTCAGAACATTGCCAAGATGGATCCTGGCTTACTTCCTTCATATTTTCAGTAACAACTGGCCTCTGGCTTTTCCACATCACTGTGTTGCATAATAGTGACCTTCAGTTACAGTTTGAAGCATATTGTCTTTTTCTTCCACCAAGCATGAGCATGAAATTTCTTCCTCTTGACTTTTGGAAACTAAAAGAAGTATGGTCAACTTTTTGTGCAGTGTGAATTTTTCCAGTTTAACCCCAGTGTGGCTGTATACTTTTGATGCTGCCAATTTACTAGGGAGAACATACTTGAAAATTCACTCTTCTCCCTTCCCTTTAGTTAAAATATTTACCAGAAAAAGCAGACTAACAATCATAGTACAAGTTAGTTGTACCATTTATGGTGGAAACCTCCTGTGGTTAAAGCTTAAGAAAAGATTACAGACCTGCTTTGGTCAAGTAAAATGTTTCTAAAATTTATCCTTACTTTAAAATATTTTGATCAAATCTTCATTTAAATGCTGAAGGACTGATGAAGTACACTTAAAAATCAGTTATGAACTAAAAATTAAAATAGATACTTCTTGGTGGAGAAAAACTTTCCTCACTTCCAAATGGAATAAACACATTACAGATTTTCTGAGCAGAAACTAGTCCTTTTTCCTAACTGAACTGCTTCAGCTTCTATGTTTAATTTGTTAGTATCCTAGTCAAAAAATTATCACTTGAGATTACAAAACAAAACACAAATACCCAAGTCCAAAGCTTATGTTTACCAAAACGGGCATTGTATATAAACAAAATAAACATTACACTTGAATATTCAACACATTAGTGAATTTATTCAAAAAAAAGAATGAAGAAAATGATCAGTTTTAAAAGTAAAACTGTAGGCGTTAATGCAATATTGGATGTATCAAACTGGCAACCATACCAATCAAAACAACAGATTTGGCTGACCATATAGTTTCCTTCAACAGAAATTTTAAAAACATGTTTTTATCCTTTATCCTTTTGCACTGCATGTAAAAACACCAAAAGAACTGTTACTTTTCTAACCCAGCTTTCCTCATTTGGAACCCTCTAGAGATATTAGGTTGCAATTTCCATCCCAACAACCAACATAGCAAACGGCCTTAAGGCTGAAGGGGACTGAAGAGAGTTGTAATCCATTATAGGTTGGTTGGTTGGTTACAGCTAGAAAAAGTTGCTGTTCTTCCCAGTTGCTACAGTTTACTGATGTGTGAATGGAATGAACAAGAAGACCTACCTTGCCAGATAGCTGCCGCTATCAGAACCAAAATAGGGCCCATTTGCCCTGGAGTGAAGGTATCCCACCCAGCACAAGTCAGGTGTGGTGTGCTAGGAGAATAGCGCCAGTGCCTTGGCTCAGGGAATCTTCCTTAGTGGAAAACAAAGGATAAGGCAACAAAGGCTGCTAATCCTTCAGTTGTGTATTCTTTGTGCCTGGTTGCTTGTTGGAGGAAGATACTTCTCGTTTTCTGAAAAAGACCACAAGTTAGGAAATTTCTAGCTCCAAAAAAAGAACAAGCAAGAAAGAATGTGTCATGAACACTCAGTAGAAGGGAAGAGAGAGGAGGGTACAGCTCAAGGAGGCCCCATTTAAAATACTTTTTAAAAGACTGATTCAATCATGTTCCATTAGTACTGGCTTGTATTTGCAATCAGAAAAGATAATTTGTGAATGGCACCTCCTTTTCAGGCACTCACCTAGAGACAATATGCAGCCGAGGGGGGAGGGCATGTGTTTATCTGTGCAAAATGTGTCTACTTGTCCTGACCTAACCACCATAAGTTCAGGAGATCTGAAAGCTCATGATTGTTCATACAACTGAATATAGTTGAAGTTTATTGGAACAATCTGGATTGCTGAGGTTAAATCTATATTAGGCTCTGATGCATGTGATCTGTCATATAATTGGACATGGCTGCAATGCATGTGAGAATTTGGCAGGGTGGAGGCTGAAGTCAGAGCTAGCATGTGCAGCTTCAGCTCTAGACTATCTTAGATTAGAAGAGAAATTTAGGAATGCACATTTAAAACAATACATTGTATATGAAAAAACTTTTTTTTTTAATGCTGTGGTAAAATCAAGTTGTACTGCTTCAGTGACCCTCATGAGATAGAAAACATGACAGAAAAAGGAGTTCCATAACTTTTCCATACCTCATTTTTTCTCCTTTTTCAACTTCCTAGGAAAGAGAAGAATTGAAGGGTGGAAAGCAGCCAAAGTAGATTGTAAACTACTGAGCATTTTGAATATGATGGGATAAAATACAGTATATAAATTCATACAACACCATCTCTCAATTTTTCTAGAGCTATTCCCCCCCACCCCACCCCAAAATGGTTAATATTTCAGTGCTATCTTTGGATGTTTTCACTGTCTGGGCAAGTCGGTGGCACATGGCCTACATTAAGACTATAATTCAGAACATACTCATTAAACTTGCTTAGTTATTTAGGAACAAACAGCCAATGCCAAAGGTGGAGAATACTGCATGAAGTAAGGTCCCAAATATGTGGAATAGTGATTCCCCCCAAAATCATCCCTCAACCTTATATCTTCAGGTGGTATTACATCATCTTTCAATGAATATGGGTGAATCTGCCCTTCCCTTCTTCCTGGGACTCTGAGGAATTCCTAGGAATTATTACATTATTAAAATGACAGAGGCTAATTTGCAGCAGAGTGTATACCACATGGTGGCTTGTTTGCTGATACACTGATACAGGTATATTTTGGTAGCCAATACTAGAAGCAAAATAGAGGGAAATAACATCTCTAGGTGGATGTTTACTTGAAATTAAATGCCACCTGTCTCATATGCCCAGCTAGAAAAAAGGAGCCAAGGGCTCCCAGTGCACAGAAAAAAAGGTGGAATTTGAGTGGAAAGTTTTGATCATAACAGACATGGGAACTTCAGTACCAGGGGTGCAAGCAGGGTCTGTACAAAACCTCTGCGTGAACCACAGTGAAACCAGACTTTTGGCACTGAGAAGAAATGTGGAGTAGCAACTTTGAGGTCGACCCAATTGCATCTCTGGAAGAAAGGTGAAAACAGCCCAAATGGAACAGATAGTATGCGGAAATTTATCACTGGGAATTATAGAGCTCTCTACTATGCATTATGTAGAGCTGCTCTGTCATGCATTATGGACAAATCTCTAAAATCTACCATATCATCCAAATAGGGAAAAAGAATTTCCTGCTTCCAGCATAGATAAATTCTATGAGCTCTATTTTATAGTTTCCTTTCCTCCCTTCAGTTTTATGGGTTGGTTAAAACATGAGAAGTGTGGCCTGTACAAAAGCTTTACTTGAACCACAGCAAAGCCAGATGTTACCACTTAATAACAAGGCTAAGATTCCTCTATGATAGTATTAATCCCAGCTAAACCATCACTTTTTTCCCCAGTGGCAGGAAGTAATAGCTATTGTTTGTCTGAAATGACATAGGATCTCTTGCTTGAGCTTGGGGTTGGACTAAAATATCTCCAAGGTCCCTTCCTATTTTATTGTTCTGTTATTCTGTTGAGCTAACTTTGTGATGACCAGGGATGACTACTTCCTGTTGACTGAGATGTCTCCAACTAACACCCCAAGGCAATTGGATTGTACCTCTTTTAGCTTTCATGGGCAATGAGGGTTGATGTCAACCCTACCTTATATGATAAAATGAAATGTGAAGTTTGTGGAAAGATCGAGCTATGATAATATAGCCTCCTCTGGGGTCACAGAGGATTTATGGCAAACTGTGCTGGTGGGAGTAAAGGCTTAGATGGGGAACAAAGGACACAAAAACATAGGGTAACAATACGCTTCACCTTCCTGGGTGAATTTTTCAGCATTATCAGCAGCTGAAAATGGGAAGTCGAGGATGGGAAGCATGATTGTTTAGAGTGACCTTGTTTGTTTTATTTATGATATGTATACTTAACCATTTTTTTTTACAAGTTATGAGGGATCTTCCTTTAAAACCAAACCTCTCTTGGCCCTTCCAAACAGTTGAAAGGTGGAATAATGGCCATTTGAAAAGAAATGATAGTTTCAAGAAGCCAAGGGACTTGCAGCTCTGTATGTAGGCACTTACTCTACTAAGAAAATTACACAGATTTTAATTATGGGTATTTGTTCAGAAATGAATAAGAATGTCAGGATATAACTCCTATAAATGCATATTTACATACATTGTACCATCTGAATTTTGTTAGCTATTTAACCAAAAGTTGCTATGGTTCATCAACAGATGATTCGGGAAAGAATGGCTGTTTGTTATACAATAGCTTTAGAGTGCTCCACAACTATTCTTCCTTACCACAATCGCCCTGTCAGGAATATTGAGGGGAAAGAGTCACTGGACCAAAGTCACCTAGAGAATTTTTGTGGATGAAGGTGGACTTGAGCCTGGAACTACATTGCTTTTTTTTTTTTGCACATGCCAGTGTGGTATGTTCACATTAACCACTATTCTGCAGTGGCTCTTATTGTTCTTGGTTGAAAAATTATGAGATTTAGAAAATACTTCTTCAAATTTTATAAGGAATTCTTACAAAAAATTATTCTTACTAAAATTTTGGGAGGTCACATTTTTATTTAGAAAAAAATATCTGATTTGGTTTTTTTGGCTCCTTGCTGACATCACCTAAGAAACTCATATGTATTATACCACCCATAGTCATTATGATACCAATTGTGGCATCTGTGGTGAGCCTCCAAAATTTTTAATGATGCTGTGGCCTGCCTGAAGGAAAAGACTGGGAATCATTGGTTTAACTGTGCCTGTGCCATAAATTTTAACATGACTTTTGGTCTTTGAGACCTAATAATATTTGATTATATTGTTATTAGGCACACAATTTTGACAAATGGGATTTGACATGAACTGATGTTCTCAGTATGAAATGATCTTGGAAGTATGAAATGTACTCAATATCCACCAAGCTAAAAAGAATAAAGAGAGGTAGGAGCTGGGTCAAGTCTGGTTGTTTCTTCACAAATCTATACCAGAACAATTCCTCTTCTCTTCCTTCCTTACTGAGCAAGGAATAGATAAACATGCCTGAGAGAATGTACCTCTTTTTACATTGTTAAGGATTCCAATGAATGGAACCTAAATTCATACAGCTGAGACACTCAGAATTCCATTTCCCCCTTTTCATTCATGGTGGAATGGAGGGAATGACTGTACAATTGAGTGTGTGTCTTAGAGGTTTTCTGAGATCTAATATTAATGCCAAAGTACAGTTTATATTTACAGTATATCTAGCAAGTCAGTCTGCTGGATTATTGCCTGGGCAGACCTAGTGAATTAGTGATTGACTTTTCTTCTGCTTAATTTCAATCCAAAAAGGCCCATAATTGGTGTACCAGCCAGAGATGGGGAAAGATCCCTTGATTTATGACTACCATGTTCTGCAAGAGGCCAAATCTAGGAAGACCTCAAATTGTAGATCTGTTTCAAATGTTGTTCCATCCAGAACCAAAGGCAAAGCTGGAGCCTGATTCAAGCAGATCTGTTGTCAGCTAACACAAACTCTTCCTGCAGAGATTTTAATTGGAGCTTATTTTGATGCATCCAAGCCTTTATGATCGCCAGGAACAGTGCAACATAGCATTTCCTGTTTAAATAGAATGGTGAAATGTTCTGGGTGTCATCAGCATATTTCACTCCCCAGCAGCATCATGTAGATATTAAACAGCACATGGAAAAGGACATTGGGAAAACCGCATATGTTACCACTCTTTCCCTGTTCCCACCCCCATTCCCGGAATGAAATTGCCCAGTTAAACAGCAGAGGCACCATCATACACTGTCTCCAAGCCCAGCTCTTCCAGGCAGTCAGCAGGAAATCAAAAGTTGCTGAGAGGTCTAAGACCGTGAAGGCACAATCCAGGGACAACAAAGGTCATTACACAAAGTACTCAATGCTATTTCTGTCCTGTGTTAATGTTTAAATTCCGAACCCAATGGGAGTCCAGCAAATTTGTTTTCACTATGATGCTATGCGGAATAACCTATCACTTCTCTAAACCTTTGCACAAAATGAGTAATTTTTCTGGAAATAGACATTTGACAATAAATGAAGCCTTGCATAGAAAGAAGGTAGATCTTGAGTGCTCAAAAGAAATTGGGCCACATGATTTTACTTAATTTCTTCAGGGATGGTATTCTAATGGGAGAGAGCCACATGGAGAAGGCTGTTTTTGGCCCTGCCTGATGTACCACCTGCAATATTCCTTATCTTCCTGCTTTAGTGGGTGGATATAGTTGGGTGGATATAACTAGCAAGAGATGGTCCCTCAGATAACTCAGACAGTCCCAAGGCATGAAGGGCTTTAAAGGTGATACCAGCACCTTGAATTGCACCTAGAAGCAAATTGGCAGCCATTGCAGCTCCTGCAGGAGAGGTGACATATATGCACATCTGGATCTGCCCATAATCATGTGGGTTGCTGCATTTTGAAGCATCTGGAGCTTCCAGATCTTTTCCAAGAGTATTCTCATGTAGACCGTGTTGCAATAAT